TGTATATACGTGTGCCCCGGGGAAGATTTTTATCGAATATCTCCGGTTTATACGGCGGACCGGAGGCAAGGTTTTTATGGCTTCAATAAAAGTAACTTATCTCACTTACAGGGTGTCCGTGAATAAAGATCCCCGCGATAAGGGAAATTCTGGTTATGAGTTATTTAGAGTTTCGGTCCTGCTCCCGGGTCCGGGTGTTAGATGTTATCAAGCGCCGGATGATGGAGATGTTTTGTCTTATTCGCAGGGTTTTACGCGGCGCAGGAACGGTAGGGCTTCCACCGGGTTTCGTCCGGCTATTCTCGAAGGAGCGATTTGGTTTTGAGACAAATTCGTGTGACAAGCTGCGAGCCAATAAAAACGGGAACTTTGACGACAGTCGGTGTTCGGCTAAAAATTTTCGAAACTATTATGTGTAAACACGGATTTCTAACGAAATGGATACGCGGCGCGAAGGAAGCGAGATGTATTTCATGCGAAAAGAGTCCATTAGATCCGCGTGAAATGTCGCGAGATAAGATGGTGGGAGCGGAGAGCGATGGAACGGTCGGTGATAGCCGCTGAGTGAGTAGCCTTGAGTCTTTTATTCGTTTTGCTCCGGCTATATAAGACGACCTGCCAATAAAGATTAACCGTTAAAGTCGGTCTAAATGTGCAAAATAGGAGAAAAAGCATATGTCGGATTAATTTACAGATTTAGATGGAACGATCTCGTTTGAATCGGGGATCCGTTTAGAATCGGCGTGCTCCGGGAAATACTGGAAATACCTAAGAGGATTGATGAATCGGAAGAGCTTCATTATGTGTCGCAGTGGTATAGCGACGTCGAACGTGTAAAAATAATACTCCAGGAAATAAGTATACAAACGAGACATAACACTAAAGAGTACGATTATAGATGGAGGCAGAGCTGCACGTGTTAACACGAATGTCGATTTCGAATTAGTAAATTACCCATGCGCCGAGGTCTTGGCGAGCGATTAAAAAAGGAAAGATATAGAAAAAGGATAAGTAAATTCGACTTTTTATGGTCGGGAATGAGCAAAGGAGAGAACGAGCGATCTGAAAAACCGAAGAAATTTCATTGGCGTGGAAAAGGCTGATGCCAGGGTTGCGCTTCGATGCGCTTTGAATCGCGCGTGTGCGTGCCGCGGCGACTGGTGCGCGTCGTCGTCCCGACATACGCGCCGATACACGGGGCCTGCGAAAAAAGGAACGAAGAAAAGAAGAAATACTGGTTCACGGGATTCCAGGTATGGAAGTGGTATCGGGGAATTGCTGCAAGAATAAGATTCTGAGCTATTTATAACATATGGAACCAGCTGATTCAATGGAAGCGAGGCGTCTGCGGGATCCCGATGCCTTCCCAGTAGCGCGTTTATTTCTGCAATTACTTTATTCCTTGGTCATCTTGTTGTGGTGTATATATATATATTTCGTCATCGAACTGGTTTCAAGCAAGTTTGCCTTCCAAACTGTATCATTCCCTTTTTTTCCTTTTACTCGCTCTTTCGCCCACCCTCTGGTCTCTTTCTCTCTTCCTCTTGTCTCGGTCTGTTCCTCGATGAACAATCGATTGTGTCGTTGTACAATTAACCTTTCGTACCCTTTTCAGATGAACTGTTTTCTAATGGACTATTGATTACGTTATTGATTCTACGAAATAGAAATAATACCAGGATCAAGAGGTAGAACTATGTTAGTTTAGTATTTCACGTCTAATTATGTCGTATAAGATTTGATATTAAGTATGGGTTATATAGTTTTTCTGTATTAAACCAAATGACGACTGTCAGTCACTTCTCAAGTGCAAAGAGTTAACCTTTTGTCCCACGGTTTCTTGTATAGGAAAAGGAAATACATTTTATGCTCATTCAATGAATGCGCTTACTTTAAAACATAATAGATAACAGAAAAATAATGTTCAACTCTTTTATTCCGGAAAACTGAATAATATCTCTATTTATTAAACTTTGTCATTACATTCGTTCAAGTTAAAAGTAAATATTAGCTTTTTATTATTAATTGTCAATCACCGAAGCAAACGTAGACATAGGACAAATATAGAGTTCTTCTTTGTTTCTAGCCAATTATTAAGTAAATACATAAAATGGATCTAGCAAACGCAGTTACGAAAGAAACTACAGGACAAGGGGTTAATAATTTGAGTCGGTACAGGTTTAAACGGGAAAAAGGAGGATGCGTGCCACGGGTGATATTTCAGCGTGCAGGTATCTGTGATTGGTTGCATGTATTTCCGGAGAACAATTGCACGACCTCGCATGGCCGTTACGCATCATGAATCCACCGTTCTGTATCCGGTTGGTATCCGGGTGATCCTAGTCGGCCGGTTGTTTTTTTCCCCCCTCTTCCTTTTTTCTTTTTCTTTTTGCGCTACTCTGCTCGGCGAGGATAATCGTTAACGATTCCGGAACGCCGATTTCGGTCCCCGGATTCCTGTTAGATTATTCCGAGCGATCGAATAGAATCGCGTTTGGGATCTTTGTTCGAGGACTGTTCGGATTCGAGATACGAGATACGTTCGAAACGATTTCAAATTTTTAATGGTAATGCGAATGAAATGCTTCAGCTGACTGGAATTTTTGTTGAATAATTGGAGGATTTGTTGAAGGAGCTGTTGGTTTTCGATTGATTATGTTAAAAAGTCGCGATTTTACTTTTTTCTTATGACACTAAATAAATCGGTTTCATAGTTATTCATAGAAAAAAGTAATGTTCATGATTATTGAATTACAATTGGTAACGAGGAATTTTTAGAGAATCATTATTCTGTCGTGGTGAATTTTGAGTTACTCACTTGTGTGAAGTCTGCTCCGATGAACGCCTGCTCCATGCCGATCCATACCGTGATCGGTATGAGAAGTTGCTGATACGGCTTCTTCAGTTGATAAGCAGTTGCAGAGAGCAATTGTATACCACTGAGCTCCTGGCTATCGACCCGTCGTTGCTTTTCACCATACCTGCAACAGAAAGAAGGAAATGTCACTGAAGGTTACACGAAATCTTAATATCCTCTGATTTTAACCATTCAACTATTTTAATAGAAACAACTATCTTCCAATAATTCATAACAACTTGTAATGTTTTCAAACATTTTCATTCTCAAACTGAAGGAAATTCATAAGTTAAAGGGTAAAAAGTGTATTTGCCTTTAACACCAAATGTACCGTTCATTTAATACAATTAACACGTAATTATTATAAAACACTACAAAAGTATGATCTCTTTTTACATTCTATTGATATTCATTATGTTACACAACTAAACCGATTCTTAAAATAATTTCAAATATTTAACACTCTTATATTATCGGTAACAGCAAGATAAAATTAAGATCATTCAATCTGACCGGTAATTCTTGCGTCAAATTATTTTCTTCGAAACCGATTTTTCTCGAATTATTTCTTTCAGCAAGAGTGGCCGAGCGAATCACGCGCGTGTCCGCATCCTCGGCCAGAAAATCGGTAATTTGTAATTCCGGTGGCATCAGGAAATGAGCGCGTCGCGTGTGCCGCTATAGAAATCCCAGACAATATCAGCTCTACGGCGAATAATCCCGGATGACTCGAACGAGCAGCTGTGGGGTATTGAAGACGGAGCGGTTGCCCGCGCGTGTTTACCTAGTACATAATAATCGGATACGTTGGACGCAATTCGCTGACTCCATTCGCTTGGTTCAATTTCCTGAATTAAAGCTTCTTAAAATTAAACTGTGCAACCACGCTACGGGGCACACCATTCACGGTTCCCCGGCGTCGTAGAAGCCGACGTCGATGTAATTCTGTTGCATTTAAACCCGCAATTAAGGCGAAGCCTCGCGGTCCGTAGTCAATCATCATCCGCAAAATGATTTGCGGTTTAAGCGTTGCTCTCGCGTATCTCTCGTTTCGTTTCCACGGAACTCCCTTGCGACCGATTATTCGGTTTCTCATGACTCCTTCGCTTTCGGGCATTTTATTTGATGAATAAATGTGCCCCGGAATTTCAGGATCTAAGCGATTTGTTTAAACCTTATTGCTGTAATATCGAGTCGGACTGGTGATGAACATTTTCAAACGAATTCGACAAATCTAAACGTTATTTATTTATTTTTATATGAATGAAATACTACTTGTCTATTAGCAATGTTTAAGCTTCAGAGTAAAGGTAGATATAGAATATGCATCAAATGTTGTTCTTTCTTTGTAAAAATGACTTTGTAAAAATGACTAATAATTTGTTTGTATTATTGAGTCGAATAAGATTCGGATGAAAAATTTGGTCATTAATATGGGTGATACGATCGTCAATCGACGCGTGGATTATTATAATTCAATTGCTACCAGTTAGAACAGATATTTAATGTACGAAGCAACGGTGAATCTTTTTTGGAACTTCCAACATATTCTTTTCATATGTATCGTGTTTAAGTAATGTCTCGCGTCTGGTGAAACAACTAGGCGCATTAAAATTCGTCGAGTTATATAATATCTGTAAGGCTTGTTTATCGGGCCGCTCGTGGCGCGGCACACAAATAATTTTTTTCAAAATTTCCACCCACAGTTCGGCAATCAATTCCGCGTGTGCGTTCGGACTCGCGAGATTTCTCGGTTTCTACTCCATCTCGCGGATGGACTCGTGCGAAGCATGGTTACTCCGTTTCATGAAGGTTCGCCGCGTTCATCAAACCCGCGGAGAAACCGGTTCCACTGTGTTTTCTTCACGCTTGATTTTTTCCCTTCCTCCTTTCTGCCTTTTTCCTCCG